ATTCTAAATCACAAACGCAACTTAGTGGAACTGGTTTCATAGATCAGAGCAACAAACGTTGTTTGGATTCTCTTGTCAAGTCTATGCTTAACATGTAACCATAGACTTTAAATTAAGATGGACAATGTCTCCATGTCCTCCCACTACTAAAAGAGACCAGGTACTAACGCTGCTATCTTGAGCATGATGGTGGCTATCCAAAAGCCAAAGCCTCTTGATCGCCACCTGGTGACTATCTGCAGGAAAGGTCATAAATCCCTCCTCCTCCATGTTAGTGGATGGAACAGGGACCTAACTACAAAGTCAAAGCACATGTCAAATACATTTTTCTCAAAGAGGTGTCTGTCATTATAGGTACTTGCTATCACACTGATGAAGTTTGATTTTAATAAGTGATTTGATGCCAAAACAGCTGAGTGAAAAATCATGACTGACTGAATGGTGGCTGGTTGAGCGTGTGCATCTATGGGATCATGCTACCGTGGCTCCATCCCCTGATCACAGACTGTGGCCTCATATGTCAGTGATGTCAGTGTTTGTATTCAGGATATTTTGTCTTCATTTCTGGATAGCAGGAGAAAGTGGAGACGTGGCGTCCATCTTTATGGTAGATACATGATGTAAGAGAAAGGTGCTGACTTATTCTCAGACATCACGAAGATTCAAATCACTTCCCCTTCCCTCTGCTTCAAGTGACATAAATGGAGGAAGATCGACCACACACACACACATCACACATGACGATCCTGATGCCTGGGGAGCAGGCTTTCTAATCTGTTGTATTAGTTCATGCAAATAAAAGGAAAAACTACACCTCTGTCTCTTCCCTTTTTCTCTGACCCTTTCTATTCATCTGTTTTTAAACAAAACACAGAGACAGTCAGTCAATTACTGACATCAGCACTGACAGAGCCACATATCAATACTCAGAACAAAGGGGTTTTCACCGCAGCTGACGCAGGTGAGATGTGTGTGTGTGCACAATCTCTTTATCTATCTATCTATAGAACTTTTTATTTTTCTAGTTAAGACTAAATTTAATGATACATATGTTTGTGTCAAAATTACACATTTAATGTTACAAATAAACTGCAGCAGCACTGAAAAAATAATAAATATTCCTCAGAGAAAACTATCGATAACTGCATTGAGACACATGGAGCGTCATTTCCCCAATATTGTATTTAGTCATGTTTTTTTTTTTTGTCCTGTTACTTTTGTTTTGTTTTATCTCATGCTGTTTTCCTTAATAGCTGTTTTATCCTGTCCAATTTTAGCTTCACTTGCTTATTATTAATTTTCTTATTTTAGCTTAGTTTTATGCTTTTATGCAAAGCCCATTGTGTTGCATTTAACATACAGTATGAATTGAGCTACATAAATAAAGTTCATCATGATTATTATTATTACCTTTACTTATTGTATAGACTTTAAAGTACCACGTAACACATCTTTAAACATGAAAACTAATAACAAATAAATATTAATTCTATGTCCATTTTAGTTCTAGGTTATTCCCAGAGGTGTACTTAGTCCAGTGCATAAAAAGGCCTATAACTGCACAGTTACACGAACACAAAATATAAAATATATACATATAAAGCCAAATAAACATAAGATTGAACATTTTTTATATAAGCCATTTGATCTCAGTGTGTGTAAAACCCTGGCCTTGCTGCTAGTGAAGTGACGTGATTACACGCAGGTTGAATGGAGGCTGCTGGTGCTGGTGGGTCAGTGAATGAAAGATTCTTTGAATGTATCAGGGGGTTTACCTCAGATCATCTGTTTATCAAATCCTATCTGTATCTCTCTCATCCAGCTGTGACTTCCCTCTCTCTGCCTAATAAACCAGTTTTGAATTAAAAACGAGTCCCCTGCGTGTGTCGAAGGCGTCAGAAATGAAATCCCATCCTCCTCAGTGTGAGGGTCTCCCACCTGCACACGGTCAGCAGGTTCCTCCTCTCCACCGCTGCGCTCCTGCCCGCTCCCCGCCTGCGGATGAGATGCAGCCCCACGCCGAGCGACGCCATGCCCGGCCCGTGCGCGTGGCCCGCGGCCGGAGGCGTTGTCGCAGTCCCCCCGCTGTCTGCGCGTTCTGCACCGGGGCAGGACCGGCAGCTGAGTCCGTCGGTCCCCGGGAGGAGAACACGCTGCTCAGCTGCTGGAGGAGGAGGAGGAGCGGCTCACTAACACCAGTCAGACACAAGGAGTCAGTGACCATCCTGATCACACTTCATGGAGGAACTTTCAAAATAAAAGCTCGACTACCATAATAGTGTTTGGACCAGGGGCGGATATAATGGGGGGGCTCAATGTCATTGCAAGATTACATTTCTACTTTCTACTTTATGGCCACGCCTATATGACTGAAGACCACCACAGGTTATCTTTATGATATCCTGATTTAGCCAATAATGAATGCAATAGCTCTGAAGACATATCCTCTGTATTTCATCATGTTTCTATGGCATCAGGGTTTAATAGAGTAATTTCTTTTCATTTATGGAAAATAAAATCAGCCGGTAGAATATCTTGTTAACGTATTCACCTCTTTATATTCTTTATATACGGTCTATGGTATTCACACATTTATTTTGACTAAAAGTATTATATTTACCAAAACTAATATATGTTATTATTTCTAAATTCTGATCAATATTTATGCAAAGAAATTGTCTCCATATTTCATTCCCCAAATGCAAATCATTTAATTCAAACTGTCATGCGTGCCTATCCTGTCCTCTTTTATTTTGAAACTAGTTTCATTTAAACGGAAGTTAGGCTGTAGATAAAAATGGCAGCAGTGGGTCCTGAGGGAGAAATGAGTGGATTTTTATTCTGACATCTGCCTCTCATCTGCACACAGAAGATACATGTGCAGGTTTTAGTTAAAAGAAAATGTTTAACAATAACTAGTAAAATCTTTTATAGACTTTAAGTATAAGCCTGTGTTTGTTTGGAAAGGCAGAGACTGAGCAATGAGGCACAATAATAACTGTGATCAAATTAAACAGATGACGTGCAGCATTGAGTTGACACGGCTGCTCCCTACTGTTCATATGTAGTAACTGCAACAATTCTTCCTCCATAATAGTAATAATAATACAGGTTTAATCTGATAATGAGACATTTAACCTTAAAAGAAGTATCAAAAGTCATCGGACAATGAATTAGTCATTTGTAAATGTCGCTGAGTTATGACTGTGCACGAGACAATACTCATGTTTAGGTGTCTTGTCAGAAATGTTTGTGGACATGATGTTCTTTGTATGGATTTGTGTTTCTGTTGTTTGGATCTATTGGAGATTTTTGATTTATGGCTGTGTTTATGGACTTTTTTTTTCTAAATCAGGGGCCATAAAAGGCCCACAATTTACATAGAGGGGCCAATTATATGACCAATAACCATGCACCATTTCTGATTCAGTAAGGTGCACTCTTAAGTTGTATCGACCTCACCTTTCACCTCTGTTCTGTCAACCGATCTCCCAACCCGTAAGTCATTTAGGCCTTTAAGTCATTCAGGCAAGTTATCATGTAGGAAGAGAGCGCCACCCATTGGTCCCAAAGGAAACAGCTCACTCCAACATCCTAGTCATGCACCCACGCTTCCTTCTCTAACGTCTCCTTCTCTTCACTCCTTAACCACAGCTGAGCAAAGGTGGTTGAATAATGGAGGTGGAGTCTGTCATGTGAGATGATTCCTGCTGCACCTTTAACCCAGAGGTGTTACATCAGGAGTGATGTAAACAAACAAGTACCTACGTTTAATCTATACTGTGCTGTATGGAAGTGTACTCTCATGTGTGTTTTATAATTCAGCTCTATTACCTTTTGAAGGGATATATTATACTACTCCTAAAATACAAAACACAGTTAAAGATTAAACTGTGGTTTACAACCTTTCTAGCTTGTGAAATGTGTCACTTCAGATTTACCAAAGAGCAATTTCCCTTCCAAGCATGCAGTGAAATCATGAAAGTCTCAACACTGCAGTGCTATTGAATTCAACAACCCTGTACTGATACTGATATGAATCAGAACCTGAATCAGTGTCAGCTCTCAATCATGACATGACATGAAATAACTTAATAACAATACACTTAACAGAATCATGAACAGGTGGAATAACATCAGTGTGGTAAGAACTACCTCAAATGAAAGAAATTATATTTCAGAAACATTTATTCAAAGTGTACTTTGACTTTTTACTTCGGCTCACGTCCCATCCACTAATATTGAGGAAGCAAGTCTTATGAACTATACTGCAGCCAGCCAGCAGGGGGCGATCAAGAAACTTCGGCTTCACTTCATGGAGCAGACATGTTACCCTCCATCTTCTTTTACAGACTAGTTTGTAGCGGTAACAGAAAACAATGCTGATTTATTGGTATTTCCATTTTCCAAACTTATTTGTTTGTTTAACGTGGACCATACAGATGTTGGTGTGATGTCGCAGAGAGGCAGCTGTGTAAAAAGAAAACCACAGTCTCCTTTGGGGAGGACAGTTGAATTGAGATGTTTAATTTTGTGAAGAAGATGGAGATAACAGGAAAAAGCAAATGTCTCTCTGACGGAGCTCCTGAAAAGTCAGAGATTTTTTTTTGTGTTACCCTTTGAGGAAATTGCCTTTCCATCTCCATATGGTTTGTGTGTTGTTATGTTTTGAGTTCTCTTGCCATACTTCTGCCTTCTTCTTCATTCTGCACCTCTAAAACAATTTTGTCGTGACACTGACTCTGTACTTTCTACCATCATCTTATCTCCAGATTGAAACATTCTGTGTTTATGTGTCCCTTCCTTCCTTTTTTAAAATATAATAATTCATTATCATTATTATTATTATTTTATATTTTTCCTTTGCTTACAGCTTGTTTACAGCTGTGACTTGGGCAGGTTAATGTACAGGTGAGGTCACAGGTCCTGTGCCTTGACAGTGACGCAGCCATATAAAGCCACGTGAGGATGGGTGATGGGAGGAGGAGGGTGAGGAGGGAGAGGAGTGGGAGGGTGAGCCCTGACAGACTGGACCTCCTCCTTTGTAAGCGCGTGTGATCGCTGCGGCAGTCACAGACACAGTGAGAGGATCTGCAGGAACAGAGTGAGTATTAGACCTGTTGATGTTATAAACTCCTAACATTGTATTTCATGACCATATTTACACTGATGATTATAATGATGCCTTTTTTAAATTAACCAAATCAGACTGAGCTAAACCAGCTTTAAATCCCATTAGGTTTTTTTTTCCAGATGTGATCATACGTTTCTTCCTCCTATGGGGTTTTGTAAAATGTTTATATGATGCGGTGTAAATGTAAACTGTCTTATTTCTTCCTGTGACAGGGACCAGACATGGAGGGGAAGGACGAGAAGAAGAAGCAGTCCGCAGACAAACATCAACAAAACGGGGATTTAAGGTAAAGTCAGCGGTTTTTAAGAAACATGATGTGTTAAGCAATTAAATGTGTTTACTCACTGTCGATCAGTACGGTGACCGAGAGAGATTCACGTGCTGCAAATTGAGAAAACGTACGCAAATAGAAAAACACACACATTAAAGCAGAGCAGGTGTCGTCAAATTGATAAAGTGGTTTTATTTGCACGTGATTTTCTATTTGCAAGCTCTGTAATTTTGTACAATTTAAATTATTTTATAATAAATAATTGAATTAATTAAAAATATTGTGCCTCTTAATGTGCTTCAAAATTAGTTTTTAAATGTCTTAAAATGAAACCACTTTCTGTTTGTTACATGCAACCAAGCGCAAAGATACACACACACACACACAGACACACACACACACATGTATAATTCATACAAAATGTAACAGGAGTCTATTATTCTCTTGCAAGCCAAGAACGTTTAGTCTTTATATTTGACACCATGTGTTTTTATCAATGACTCCTCAGCAGCAAAGATGACAAAGACAATAAGAAGAAGAAAGAAAAAGAGCCAAAGCTGCCCATGGTCGGCCCCATTGCTGTGGTAAGAGAGAGAGAGAGAGAGAGAGAGAGAGAGAGAGAGAGAGAGAGAGAGAG